GGGGGCGGGCAGCGGGGGGGACCGGGGCCCCCGCGCCCCGCGGGGCTCAGCCCCTCCGCTCGCAGGTGTCCCCTCCGCGCCGGCAGCGCGCTCGCTGTTGTAAACTCCGCTCCGACGGCTTGTACGCCGAGGAGTAACGGCAGAAGGGCCGTCCCGCGGGGGTGCGTTCAGTGTATCTATCAAACAGGATCCCGTAGTGCCCCCCGGGACAGAGGAGCTTCCCCGAGGGGGCGAGCGACATCGGGCTCTCGGCTGGCACGAAGACCACGAATTTAGCTGCGGCGGGCTGCCCTTCTCTGTGCACCTGGAACGGGGCAGTGCTAGCTCTGATCTCCGCTGGCAGAAGTCCCGTCCCTATTTTGACGAAGGAAAACAGGGCTGGTGTCCCTGAAAGGGCCACATTCTCCCCATCGTTGGGGAACTGCCTCCTGAAATCCGCCGGGCAGTGTCCCTAGCGTGCTGACCCCGCGCGACTTGGTCCGGAACGCCGTGACTTTGTCCGCGTTCCGTGCAACTTCGAAAGCTGAATAATCAATCGCCTTTCGTCCGCCGGTCCTTTCACATCTTGCACTTTATCTACCGTAGCGTTTATACACTCAAAAATCTACACACAGGGGCTCGCCGAGTCCGAGCCCCCGGGCTCCGGCCGCGGGGGGGACCGGGGCGGCTTCTGACACCCACCCGGGCTGCGGCTGCGGGGAGGAAACCGAGTCCCGGTACCCCAGGAAAGCGGATCCTCGGTGAGCTGCTGTCCTCGCTGGGGCTGCCTGGGGTTGGTTAGGTGGATGCTCGTGTTCCCTGGTATAAATTAGCAGAAGTATATCCTACTGATTTATTTATTTTTCCCAAACCAAGGGTGTTACAGAAGACACTCGCTGCGGCTCATGTTGACAAATAACTCGTGAGCTACCTGACAGTGTTAGTCCAGTTGTTGCCCATATGTCTAAATACCCTCCAAGAGACGTCAGTGCCGTTGAGCAAGAGAATTACCTCAAATGAAAACCAGAAGGAAGATGTTTTTTTTTTCCTCTCCCCCAAACCACTTTACACCTGATGGCAGTAACACACGGGGAAGATTTTTGAAAATTCAGTATCACCTTCCCCCATAGCAGCGATCGCTTTGCAACATGACGGGGAGCCGGGAGGGTGCTTTTTTTTTTTCTCCTTTTTTTTTTTTTTTTTTTTTTTTTTTATAATCCATACCTTCACTAAATGACTTGCGTTCGTGTTTGTTTAACAACGGGTCGCTTCGGTAAACAAGACAATCAAAAGAACATTTGAGACTACGTGGATACATTTCTCTGCTGCTTGTAGACGCCTGGACACCCAGAGGAGTTGTTGAATGCTTCTCCTTCCATCCTTCCTTTATTTACCCAAATGAACACAGGGAAAGCTTTTAACCGAAGGGAGATTTAAGGTGATAAGGAGCGAAGCTGCGCTTCGAGCTGCAGCCCTCCGTGGAGCAAAAGGGATGGATGGGGTGCTTCAAAGGCTATTTTTTTTGTTGACATTTTTCTTCTTTCGAAAACCGAGACCGTTTCTTCTTCCTCGAAATATTCCGACGGTTGCCTTGCCAGTGCAATCTCATTTTAAACAACTATTTTAGCCGAACACTCGCACCGACTGGTTTGGCAATTATTTCAGGCTTTTGAGCGTCCCTTATGGTTTTAGGGAAGACTCTACAACCCTTCTCTTCACACACACCCCCAGGCGCTCTCTTTCTGCCCTATCTACTCTTTTTAGGAGCCAGCAGTTTTAGGAGCCGCGCCTGTTGGTTTTGTTTTGTTTTTTTTCAGGGGACTAGCGAGATTAGGAATGGTCCCGCTCCCTGGGAAAGACAGAAACCCCCTCGCTCCACATCCACTTTGCGGGCAGTTTTAAAGTGCCTCTGTCTCCTGATGTAGGAGGTTTGGGGTTTGGGTTGGTTTTGGCTTGGTTTGGTTTTTTGCTCTTTTTTTGGTCTGTTTGTGGGATTCCTTGTTTTTTTTCCAGCATGTACCAAGAAGATTTGTTAAAATCTTTCTCCATCCTCCTCCCCCCGCTCCTCCGACTCGGTTCACTCTGTCCCACAGCGCATCAGCCCGGGGCTGAACCGTACCCCGTTAAGGGGGGGGGGGGGGGGAACACGACGACAGGGGACGTGGCTACAGCTTATTTCTCCCAAACACGACCACTTGCCTGGGGGGGGGGGGTTAAAACTGCCGATCCTCACAACCCACAGTCCCGAGGGACTCCGGCCGCTCCTCTCCGGTGCCCACCGGGGAGACCGGAGCGTCGCCTGGATAGCGATAGCTAAAAAATCCCACCTTACAACCCCCCCAAATAAAAATAAACCTCAACAGAGC